TTGTATGACTTTCTCATGTCATGAACAGAAATAATAGTTTTCTGAACTTAACCGGATAGGAGTGATGCGTCATGATTCTGGAAAAATTGGTCTTTTTGCTTAATAATGATTTTTTCACTTGATATCCACGAGTTTTCCGTTCTTTTGAATTTTCTCAAAGTATCTTTCTTTCCTTCTTAAGAATGTTTATCCCATGATACAGGTTTTAAAAACACCTGTCTCATTGGATATGCTTGGTCGTATATTTAATGGCTCTGGGAAACCCATTGACAACGGTCCTCCAATTTTGCCCGAGGCTTACTTGGATATTTCTGGTGAGTGACTAGAGAATGACCTTACATCTTTTGTCGGCATACATATTTAATCCGTGTTTGATGATGTATTCAAATTCTCCTCTTCAGGGAGTTCCATTAATCCTAGTGAGAGAACATATCCTGAAGAAATGATACAGACAGGAATTTCAACAATTGATGTCATGAATTCAATTGCCAGAGGACAGAAAATTCCTCTTTTTTCTGCAGCTGGTCTTCCCCATAATGAAATCGCTGCCCAAATCTGTCGTCAGGCTGGTTTAGTGAAGCGGTTGGAGAAATCTGATAATCTTCTTGAGGTACAAGAAAATCCCATATTTTAACGGTGCCTACCGTAGATAATCTCTTTATTACCCTGGATGCTGTATTTCTGCTGTTGTCTAACAAAATGAATCATGAATGAGTGTCACTGCATTGTCTTGGGGATATTGTTATATTATGCTGATAAATATGCCAAAATTGATGGAGGAAAGTTATTTTTGTTAGTATTATTGAAAGAACTTTTATCCTATCTTTAAGATAAACATAAATCTCCAGATTTGGTCCTTTTGCCCAAAATTGCTAGTAGTCTACTTTATAAGACATCTTTTGAACATCATCATGTATATCAAATACATGGTTCAGTAAACTGTATAATTTTATTCAGTCTCTAGTCAGTTTATTCTAACAAATATCTGTCAAAATGCAGAGAAATTGTTTATACACCTCTATGCTCCCCAGCAACCAAGCAATCTTTTATATCATACTTGGATGTTTTATGCACTTGGTTGGGATTTCAGCTGAGTGCATGTTATCAAGTCGATACTCATGATCTACAAATGCTGCAGGATCAGGAAGACGACAATTTTGCCATTGTTTTTGCAGCTATGGGGGTTAACATGGAGACAGCACAGTTCTTCAAACGTGATTTCGAGGAAAATGGATCTATGGAGAGAGTGACCCTTTTCCTGAACCTGGTAATTATGTGATTTGTTGACCCATTGAGGATGCTCAGATTATTATTTCTTCCAAGTTTTAGTGGTGTATTTGTCTTGTTTGTAACAAACCATTTTTATGCAGGCCAATGACCCAACGATAGAACGTATCATTACTCCCCGTATTGCCCTTACAACTGCAGAATATTTAGCATATGAATGTGGGAAGCATGTTCTTGTCATATTGACAGATATGAGTTCCTATGCTGATGCTCTTCGTGAGGTAACATTTATTTCATATACTTTGTTCTCTGAAGGATTATCTTTTCTTAACTTAGACCAGAAATGAAAACTGCATTCAAGGTGTTTCATGAAATTTACTGTGACTGGGATTTTCAGTCTTAACTATTTGCATCAAGTAAATTACCAATTTGCCACTGTAGGTTTCTGCTGCACGAGAAGAAGTGCCTGGGAGGCGTGGGTATCCTGGTTATATGTATACTGATCTGGCAACTATCTATGAGCGAGCTGGACGTATTGAAGGAAGAAAGGGATCCATAACACAAATTCCTATCTTGACTATGCCCAACGATGGTAATAAAATATTGGCCATCCATATCACCTATCTGAACACAATTTTTGTTTTTCTGATAGATTGATAAACTTGGCTTGTTCTATTTATTGATTGATCAGATATTACTCATCCAACCCCTGATCTTACTGGTTATATCACTGAAGGACAGATTTATATTGACAGACAGCTTCATAATCGGCAGGTAGATATTTGTTGTAGCTGCATGAATTGGTTTGTCAAAGTTGGTACAAACAATTTTAACATGGTGGACAATTTGATTAAATGTCTTGCATGGAATTCAACTCCAGAAGAGCCACCAAGTGCCTGGCACATCTTTGATCATCTTTTAAAATGAATACTAGTGGGTTATCTCTACCATAATATTTTTTTCATAAACCCTCTCTTAGAATGAGTACTAGTGGGTTTTCTCTACCATAAGATTCTTTTTCGTGTAAATCTAAATGGAGATTACGACTCTACATTCAAAAAACACAGAATCTTGCTTCAAGTTGATGGGACGTGCTAAAAGATGGAAAGAAAAATGTGTGTAATTGGACCAAAATCAAAGTAGAAAAGTTCTTCGGGTATCTTTGAGAGAAACAAGAAGAGTAGCATTGGAATCTGTAGTTACAACAAAAGTTGGGAGGTCATATTTTGATTTCATGAGATCTACCTAGTCCCTGGACTGCATCCAGAAACCCTTTGGATAACAGTAAGCTACCTCACAATGGCAGATTTAGGGGGGGAAATGTGAACAATTTGCTAGAGAGTTTCGTTAGAGGTGCTTATTAGCACATTGTTTGAGGATTCCTAGACAACTCCCAATGAGGTCTATTACTTGCAATAAGTCTGCCAAGTAAAAGCATCTATTGGGATCAGAATTTGTATTGATCAGCTCCACAATATTAGCATACTGACTCCTGTCATTTTAAATGTCTTGCAATGATGCCAGAGTGATGGCTTTATATGTGGTGTGTCTGGAATGTTCTTCCTAGTTGGCTATAACTACATTTTCCTTTGGAATATAAATTTGCCATAATAACATTTGCTTTCTTCTGTACTGAACAGATATATCCTCCAATTAATGTGCTTCCATCCTTGTCTCGTTTGATGAAAGTAAGTACCATAGATTGCCTGACTTGATTGGTTTGACTTCTTATTTAAAAATTTGAAGATGATGCACCGTTGATCTATATGATTTCACTTTTATTATAGAGTGCCATTGGCGAGGGCATGACTCGCAGGGATCACTCTGATGTGTCTAATCAGGTATGATTAGCTATTCACAGTTCAAAACTCGGTCAAAGTTCTCCCCTCATCTTTTTATTTTTGTTTGTGTATTTTTCCCATTTCCAGCTATATGCAAACTATGCAATAGGAAAGGATGTCCAGGCAATGAAAGCCGTGGTAGGAGAAGAAGCACTTTCTTCAGAAGATCTGGTTTGTACTATGTTATATTGAGTTTGTCCCTGAACTTATCATTAATAATAACCTTTAAGATGACTTATGGGACCATGTTTGAATAAACAGCTATATCTCGAGTTCCTTGATAAATTCGAAAGGAAGTTTGTAGCTCAAGGTGCCTATGACACCCGCAACATCTTCCAATCACTCGATCTAGCATGGACACTGCTTAGGATCTTTCCCCGGGAGCTTCTTCATCGTATTCCAGCAAAGACACTCGACCAGTACTACAGCCGGGATGCAGCCAATTGATTGGAAGAGACGAGCTATTTTACTGTAGTTTTCTGGTCAGTTACGTTGGTGTGCACATTTTGTGAAATGACCCATGATGTGTGTTTCTATAGATTGTGCATCTCCTCCTCAATCCTCTTGAACAATAAAAGTTCTTGATTAGCCCCTCGAGGCCCCTTCAGCGGTTTAAGATGCGTATTCTTTGAGTATTAAATAAGTTTGCTTTGCCAGAATGCACTTCAAAATTGCTTTCGCTGTCTCAGATTAAGTTTCGAAGCACCAATGGCTTCCCTTTGTCATAAATTGGTGACAGGACTTGTAACAGTTTCGAGTTTGATGGCCTTTTTTGGGAAATTCTTTGTTGCTGGACATTTTTACTCAGAGCTGACTCTGTGTCTCAAGCTTGTGCTGTATAATTGAGACTTACTGTGGTTTTTCCCATTCAAATTAGTCCTTTGCATGCAATAAGATTTTCGATTTTATGTTGCTCTTGTTCCTGCTTTCCAGAAATAATAATAATAATAATAATAATAATAATAATAATAATAATAATAATAATAAGTGCTGAAAATTACCCACCCCAGTAGCCACTATGAAACTTTATGTATAGCTAAGCTGTCATGGGGCAATTCACCAATGATAGATAAATTTTAAATTTTTCTCTTACCAAATTAGTCCCCGCTTTCGCCAGTAGTATGGGCCAAGAATTGTACAGTATTTTTCCATTCATTATGGTCCTGAATATGCTCTGTATCCTATACATACCCTAAGGAAGGCTTTCATCTGAATCTACGATGCATAATAACCTCATAATAGAAATCACAATGTTCACAACTATCAGGCAATCCTCCTAAAATTTGCTATCCAATACAATATTACTTACAAGTCTCCAGTTTGCACTTCAAAGTTTATGGCCTGTGAAATGTATACTTGTTAACGAACTTCGCAATACTTGTGTTCATAAATGTAATAAGGGAAACGAGTCAATCTTTCTCTCAACCTAGAAATTATATACCTATTCTTCATAATCGAGCTCTTGAGGTGGTGCTTCTCAATTTACGATTCAATTAATTACACGTGCATTGACAAGACGAGCTTTTTGATAAGAGGAAGAAGCACCATCTCAAGAGCTCGATTACGAAGAATAGGATACACCATTTATGAGGACGATGCAGTTCCTGATGTCGATTGTTATGACAAGAATGCTTCTATTCAAAGTTGGTGGATTTTACATAGTCCGGTCATTTATCAGTGTGGTCGAGCATTTTACAAAAGTAAAATTGACAAAAATAAGGGGCAAAGACATGGAAAAAACAAGCCAACATATCTATACTGATTGTCACATTAAAATTCTCTTCAGTCTCTCTCTTGGGCTATACCAAGTATTAGTATCCAGTTAAAAGTTACAGTATACAATAAAGAATTTTAGGGGCTGCTCGTGTTCCAAGAAGCTTCTGTATTCACATGAGAATAGTACAACAGGCAATAACATTAGAAACAGAAGCATCAAGAAGTGCCAGGCGCAAGAGTGTTAGGACGCAGAGTGATGCCACCCCCTTTGACGGATATGTTGGGAGTCCTAACAGAACTAGCCCGACTCACAAGATTTGAGTCAAGAAAAACTACAATAACGGTGATGTCATCGTGGAAATGCCGACGAACTCCACGCTCAATCTTCGTCAAGTCCGAGTACCTCATTTCTCTTTTCTTTGCTGCCTCTTTCAATGCTGCTTTCACTAATCTCCTAGCACTTCCCTGCATAAGTAACGGACACAGAATTTAAGAATTTTTCCCATTTTCTTTCTTCAAGGTGTATGCATGTTTGGCAAAAAAAATATTGCCATCTTATAAGCTGGGACCCACAAGTTGTATGAACCAAAACCTATAAGCCAGCTTATAAGCGAATTCCCACTTATCTGGCTTATAACAGTTGCATGGATTTTGGTCCACACAATTCGTGGGTCGTCTGCTTATAAGATAGCAACCTTTTTTTTTGCCAAACATGCTCTATATCATCTGCTTGGAGGGGAAACAAAACATGGTAAAAAACAGCCATGAGAACAGTACATGCTGACTTCAGACTTAGAAGTCTGCAGGCCCTTCACTAATCTTAACATAATAATAACCTTTAGGATGCAGCATGCTACGCTTCAAATTAGATAAGCGCTAAAATTTAAGACATTGAGTATCTTACGCTGTGTGGATGATTTTGAACTATATTGACTGCGTCTTGATTAGTAAGGTGCTCCCAAAGGCCATCTGATGCGAATATTATAAACTGATCGTGAGGTAACAATTGGTGTACGGAAATTGATGGTTCCGAGCTCAAAATTGGCCTTTTAAAAGGTTCACGAAGTCGAAACTTCGCATATAATGGCTCCCTGTTGAATTCAGTCTTTTTCAAATAAACATCACCGATGGATCTTGAAATCTGTGAGCCAACATAGACTAGTCATAATGCAGATCGTATTTTAAAGTGAACTCATAACAAAATAGTATAGAACATCATTCCATAGCTAAATTGCACATATGAAAAGTGTTATTGGATCGATAATTTCTAGGTACAAGTGAGCCAAGTAGAAATATGAAAAGCTTCAATTTTTCTGCTACAATTCAACGAGGTTAAGGATCAATGATTGCACAATAGCAAGATCAATATAAACCCTCAATTTAACTGACATTACTTCCAGTCGAATTTTTTTTTCTAGCGCTCAGCCTGAAGCACTGTCTCTGTCTATATAGAAATTATCATGCTGCAATTGATGAGGCAATTTTGCAGGATTACACAGGCCAAAGATGACAGATCAGCAGAGAATTTACTGTGGCAATAACTACCAGAAAGAAAGACAACCAACCTGTATAAGGCCCTTCACACGCCACACATTATGCTTTAGAACAACAATTTGTGAGTCATCAGGGTGCATAGATTTCAGTTCCTGTCTCACAGATTCAATACTCGCATTATGCTCTGAAGAGAGCTGAATGGATAGTACTTCCCCTGTTGCCTTAACAAGTCTCCCTAAAACAGCACGGGAATCACCAAGATTGGCAATATAGAGTGTTCCATTGCAGATAACTCCGACAAGGCAGCACGAACCAACTGCTGCTATCTGTGGATTCAAAGGCCATTGTCTGCTGACAAGTGAGAAAAACCCATCTTCTGTAGCTTGAAATGCCTTCCGTATTACCTCCACTGACATAGAATGGTGCTCTGCAGCAAATGCTACACAATTGGGAAATTAGCAGTTGACCGGTAAAAAGTTAATTTACACAACCAAGTGAAATATCACGAGGGATTATTATTCCCCATCATCGCTGTTATTATTTGGCAGTCGCGTTTAGAACTAAACATTACCAAGGACATCGTGAAATTAGGTGCTCAAAATTTGCAACTGATACACTTTTTTACAGTTTTACTTGACTAGTGTAAGCAACAGTAATAGGAGAATATACATGATACATCAGATGCTCTATTCTAAAGTCCTTTTTCTTTGATAGAACCAAAAAGACATTGAAGTTAACAGCAAGACTAAGTCCTAAAGAACATGATAGACTTACTCTTGAGGTGTCGAAAGAGGTGTTCATTAATGAACCGAGAAGTCTCTGGGCCACCGTGTCCATCATAAATTCCCACAAAAGTACCATATGGCCCAGAATCGTGCAAGCTCAAACAACCAGATTCAAGTTGGCTCTGATCCTCAAGTAAATTATTAGCTTGAACTACAGCCATAGAAAATTCTCCATTAAAATGTTGTCCTGTATCCTTGTACCACAGAAGCCCATCTTGACGCCCACCAGCATCAGAACCCGTAGGAGCAAATTGACCTGCCTTCGGCCAAAAGCAGGCCCTCAAAAAGTTCATTAACCCCGATAACATGCCTCATCTCATCCCAAGCACCCTCCAAATTATGCACATCTAACGAGGACTCGAAGTAACTCAGATCAACCTCAATTGTGCAACCACTTATCAATTATCAATTCTTCCTCGAGAAAGAGAAACTATACACAGTACAAATCTACGTGAGGAAAAACAACAAACATAAAACAAGCAAAATTAGAACTTGAACAAAACAACTTAACATACCAATCCATAGAAAAATATATATAAAGATACCAAGTTTATGTTTAATTCTGCTCAGTACTGTTACAGGCTACCACAAATCAAAGTATTTAAATGTGAAATAGATCTCTGATTAAAATATTAAGTTCATTCAAAGTTCAACGCGAAGAAATGGGGCAGGAGGCTTTGAAAAATTGAAAGAGTAGTCAAAATTTACATTTGCTTCATAGAACTGTTTGCTCAGCCAGATTCCAGAAAGTCCAATTCCCAAAAAGAAAAAAAAAAGAAAAAGAAATAAACAAAAACCCAATTTCTCAAAATCCCAAAAGTCTCCAGTCAGGTAATTCAACGGTACAATCTTCCAAGATAAAACAGCAAGAAACCCCCATAAAAGATGTTACCTTTAGAGCACAAGATCTGAAAGTGAAAGTGGTTTAGATCTGTGGATCCATCAAATCAAAAAAACGGATTGAAGGGTATGAGTATGATGATATGAGGTGATAAAAGATGGGAAAAAAAGGCATAAAAGGGGGAAGAAAACAGGGCTGAAAAGGAATTATCAATTATATGATGTGTTTGATTAAACCAACTTCAATTTAAAAAAAAAAAAGGAAGAATTGAAAGCTCGAAGCCAGCATAGTAGAGGACGGTTTGGGGCCACGCTGAGTTCCAGACAGAGAAAATCTAGAGAGAGAAAAGAAGGGAAAATATAAAATATTGTTTTTTTTTTTTTTTTTTTGTAAAAAAAAAACTCACATTTCTTGTAGTCAACGAAGCTTGGTAGAGATAGAATGACACCCTTTTGCATGGATTTTCCATGCAACTGGCACTTATGATGCCACGTGGAGCTCATTCGTATTTAAATTTTATTTAATGAACTAATTGTAAAATTATTTAGTTCTTGTTTGACAATCATTACTTGGAAAAAGTATATTAAATAGTGTTTCTTAAGAGAATGTGTAATTAAAAATTAAGAAAAAAATTTGAATTTATGAGTAAGTGTGAATGAAATTTGAAAATGAATATATATAAAAAAGAGTTTTTAAATAATAGTTGTCAAACAGAGATTTAATTTGGTTTATAGTTTAAAGTGGCTTAAAAGCTTTTGAAACTATTTCTCGAATTTGCCATTATTTTCTCCCATGCATATTCACAAACCTTCCCATAAGCCCTTGTCTGGGTTCCACTAAAAATAGATTTTGCGGAAAATGTGTTTTAAAATAATGATTTTTTGGAGGATGTGTGGTTAAGAACAAAACAAAAAAAAAAAGTTTTGAATTTACTTATAATATTATTAAAAAATATGGAGTTAAAAAATAAGAAGATTTTTTTTTGAAATTGAGCCCAAAGAAGAGTTAAATTTATAGCATGCAATTCAAAATTCATAAAAGAGAAATGTTATTTATCATTATAATGATGGAATAATGATGATATGACAATTTAAGTTGAATAATAAAAAAGACAGTTCAATTTTTATCACCATCGCTATTTTATTATTATAATGATAAATAATATTATTATAATGAGATTCCTCCTTCTAAGGGGATGTTTGATTCTCATTTTTTTCAAAATACATTTTTCTCATTCTTCCATTTAAACACACATTTTTTATTAAAATAATATCATAAGCAAATCAAAAACTTCTCATTCTTTTTTAACTACACGTTCTCAATCAATCTACTATTTCAAAATATACTCATAAAAAATAATAGGGCTCAAACACCCCCTAATGATAAATCAAAACCACCCAACGAGAAAAAAGTATAAAATAAAAAAGTCACATTCTACCACAAATTTCAACCACGCACAACACCTTCCACTAACACCCCACACCACCCCTACGCAACCCCTTTCCACAACCACTACACCCTCCTCATCTCATCCCTTTCCATGCCTTCGTCATGGTCACCACAACCCCCAGCTCCATCACGCCACGCCACTGCATTGCACCACGCCTTACCTCTCCCTTCCACGCCGTCTCACCAATGTGTAGCCCCAAAATCTCAACTCTAATTTAACTCAAAATTTCATAATTAAAATAGTAGAACTTAATTTTATGGCACAAATTAGAGGCTGCGAAGATGGAGACAACCATAATACCTCAAAAGGTGGTGGCATGTCATGAAATTGGGTTCTACTATTCTAGGTTCACGTCATTATTTTTATTTTTTGCCAACATAATGTATAGGTCCTGCTTGGGAGGGATTTAGATTTTTCTACAGTAAATCAATTCTCATTTTCAACCACACATTTTTCAGTAAAATAATATTTTTCATTACATCAATAATTTTTTCTTCTTTTTCAACCACACATTTCTCATCATATCACTATTCAAAATCAATTCTTCCTCCCAAAAATCCCTCCCAAACAAGCTCTA